ATTTACATTCAAGCACTAATAATACCACAATATACCCATTGTGATTTTAGGTTAATTTAGGTTTTGAATACATATTAAAATGGCACAGACTTGCAGACTTAAATAAAAATTTAACCTTCACATTAATGAAGTCCATATTATAAAGAAATAGCTAACAGAGAGATATACAGCATAATTGTGCAGCAGAAGGAAAATAATGCAGGTAAATGTAAAAAAAAAAATTTTTTTAAAAAGAAGAAAAAAAGGGAATATGACACATTTTGCAATGCACCATAGAACAGTGAACTGTTCCAAACCATGAGGCAGTTTTTTTGTTTTTCATTTGAATCACAGCCAGAGTTATGGGAAACAGCACACTCAGTCACCTGATCTTTGATGTCCTCTACTGCAGCTGCAACATGGCAGCAGTAATAGAAAACTGTAAAAGGCTTGTACGTGATGACAGAGTAATATCAGCTGATTTAAACTGTGGCAGACCTTGTAGACTTATCCAGTCATAATAGCTGAGACAAATGCAGGTGTAGGAGCCAATAGACTGAGGTCAATAATCTTTGTTTATTGCCTTCATTACAAGAAAACTGAAATTGTTAATAAAATCGATCCCTTTGCATGTGAGTAAAAGAGCTCAGAATGTAAGGCTCCCTGCTTTCTTTGGATTCAATTACCTTGCTAAATTTGCAGGATAACAGTCACACAGGTATTGATTGTAAGCGGTGTGGGATTTTGAACTATTTTTTTTCTTTTAGCTGCGGTATATGACAACATAAGGGAGAGGCACAGAGTGGGAGACCAGCTGCAAAGAGGCAAACAGAATTACTATGTGGGATTCATTTCAATGGAACTAATATTAGCAGTTATACTGTTGGGCAAATGTGCTTGTACAGCGTCTCTGCACACAAAACACACACGAACAGAGTAATTTGAAGTCCTTCCCAGAGACCAACGGCTGCATGCAATGCTGTGGAGAGGCGTGACCAGGATGAGACTAGCCTCCCACAAATGACCTTGAATACAAATGGGGCTGACAAATGGTTCAGGGGGGAGTTAGATCAGGACTACCCAGGTCTGGATAATTATCAGGTAACTAAGTTTGCACAAATCATTCACCAAAGCCACAAAGGCCAGTGATTGAAGTCGCTACAGCCAGGTTGACTGCTAATTAACATGGAGTGGTACAGCTGGTTGATCTCGAGAAGCTTAAAATCAAATGGGTAGGAGGGCATCTGTAACACTTTCACAGCTACAGTGCCTTGTTAAAGTATATAACTTGAACATTTTTCACATTTAATCTCAAAATAAGTATAAACTTAGGGGTACATTGGGGGAATCTTAGCAAATGGAACAACAGAAAGTGGTGCAGGATTGTTATGTAGAAAAGATACGTGGTCTTCAAAGTTTTTCAAAAATAAATCAGAGTGCACCATGCATTTGAATTGGAATATCTATAAAACTAGAATAACCATACGTCCATCTATCCTTTATTTATAATTATGCCATTTTAAAATTTTGATGGTCTAGGTTTTTTAACCTATCTAGAAGTAGACCTCTAACCCTATTTTTTGTCTTTTGGAGCCTAAAACATGTGTCTTTGCTTTACATTTAACTCCCTCCATGTTGCAATGAGCTCTAACCAGCATCCATGTCCCTGCTGAGGATAAGGATGTTGAAAGCATGATTCTAAGGCTTAACCATGTGTTAAGGTGGGTTTATGGAGTAACGTTTAAAACCCTAGAAAGAGTTTTATTTGTAAAAGGAAAAAAACATTTAAATTTCATGGTTGCAGTTTGTAAAATGTGGAAAAGTTTAAGAGTACTTACTTTTCAAAACTGTGCAACATATATATGTGGCTTTAGATATACTGTCCACCAGCCTGGATAAAGCTTTTCAATTAGCTCTCCATTCAATTTCTGTACCCACTTCATAATGTTTAGGGTCTTAGGTTAACTGTTGGAGTCCATTACAGCTTTAGTCTTTTTGCAAAAGGCTGGATACAACATAGACCAAACATGCACACAGAAACAAGGGCAATTTAGTTCCCAATTAACCTCATATGTCTTTTTTTTTAGACTGATGGAGGAAGTTGGAGCACACACAGAAGATTCACCATGAACAAAATATGCAGACTCCCCCTATAGAAGAGCTCAGTTATTAAATGAGGCAGCCGCTTTTTACCTGGATGAAACAACAGCGCCAACTACTGGATCAATCTTACAGCCAACTTTTCAATAATGCTCTCCAAACACAAAGCAGATTTGCAACATTTCATTTCCAGCATGCCTAAGCACCAGTGCATCCACAGAACCATTTTCATCAAAACATTTTAATGGAATTTATCTTAAATACCCATCTTTATGTACTTATCGATAAAGCAAAAGAGGGTAAAATAAACACAAATAAAATAGTAATCTCTCTAAGCAAACAGAACAAAGCCTTTCTTTTCCCAGGGGTTTAATGTGTCCATTGTCTCAGGTAAGGAGTTTCTCTGCAGACTGTTTGCCAGTCTTTGTTTGGTCACACTGCCATCTTCTGGTTCAGAAATGATTCAGCCTATGCAAAGAACGAGCCTCACACAGAACTGTGTGTATGTGGTTCATAACATTTGCACCACTGCTTAATCAAGCAGTTAATAAGCAATAAGACTTGAGGCTATTGGTGTGAGTGTTTCTGTCAAAACTCATGAGACAGAGGGAGCCCTCAGTATAAATATTTATGCCTGCCAAACAGATCAATGGCAATTAAAAAGGTCAAGGGCAGATGATGATGAATGTTGGTTGTATGTATTGATGAAATTTGACCACAATAATGACTTACAAATGACAAACTTACACACAAGCTTCAGACAGAAAAGAAAATCAAAGGGATTAATTCATTGATCACGCTTAATCCGTCATAATTAATTCCATAGGAACAACTGTGATGAGAGCAAGTCTCCATTAAATAGATAAATTATTCAACAGGAGGATGTGGTGGACCCAAGACAAATGAGCTTGGGGCACTGCAGCAATGGCAGTCACGGACTGAAGCTAATTACAACCTTTTCATGGAAACAGAGTTTTATCTTATAGTTGTACAGAAAGACTAACAGGATATTTGAAAACAGAAAAAGGGTTTTCTTCATGACCTTCAATGATCACTTGCTACTTCATGTCAAAACTGCAATGTTTATTATGTAAGGACTTGTCCTATCCATTGATCAGATCGCCTCTGTATGGTTTGCTTTAAATCAAATAAATCTGGTTTATTTATATAGCACCAATTCACAACACATGTCACCTCAAGGATCTTAAGAGACACAATTCAACCAGATTATACAGTCATATTGATTCCAAGTTTTTTGTCTAAGGAAAACCCCCCATTGCATCGAATCATACACCTGACAGATATCCCTCACACCTACAGTAGAATGCTTGTAGCAACAGTGGAGAGGAAAAACTCCCTTTTAACAGGAAGAAACCTCCAGTTTAACCAGACTCATTGTGAGGAGCCATCTGCCAAAGATGACTGGGGTTCAAGGAGACAGAAAAGAAGAATAGATACAAAATACAACTGTCAACCAGCTCCACAGGTCCCCATCCAGGAAACACAAAGCCAGGCAGACGAGTTCCGAGCCAGCCCCCAAATCAAAGGATGAAAGAGAGCACATACAGTTAGTCACAGCAGGAAAAACAGGATTACACTGAAAAACAGGCCAAGCTCCAACATTTATAAACAAAGGTGTTGATGGCAGCAGCACAGCTGATATTTATCTCCAGGATGGTGTCACGGTCAAACAGAAACATACCAGATGAA